TGTTGAATATTAAGTGTCCCCAACTAGGCAAGCCAAAAAACAAAGGCGACAGTGGCAAGGAACCGAAACTCCATCAGGTGACAGAATGGAAGAAAAAAACAAAAACCTTGGGAGAAACCAGGCTCAGTCGGCCAGTTCACCTCTGGCCAACGAACAAACAGTGTATGATTATGATTCAGGCAGCATTAAAGGTCTTTCATTGTCAGGATCTGGTTCCATCTGGTTGAAGATCGGAGTCATCACGCCGGTATGGAGACTGGTTTGTTGAGGATCAGTGCCGATGGCTGTCATGTCGATGATCAGGAAGATTATTTATAAAGTAATCTTAAGTGGCAAAAGTGATACTTCTACCATATTTGTAACAGGGAGTCGGCTTTGCAGCCTTGGGTAAATTAAGTCAAGTATTTTAGTTTTTCCATTACGTTGCAACAGCCTCTAAGAAACAGTGCAAACTCCTGGTTAGCTCTTTGGTCTTCAGATTTAATTGTTGGCCATTTAATTGTTCTCTCCATATTATGCGCAGGAGATCTTATATTCATTGCCAAACTGTTCCTTCAATAGAACTTTTGCCTTCTTCTAGTCTTGTTCTGGAGACATGTGTTGAAAACTTTTAATGAGCTCTTGAGCTTTCTCTTTTGTGAACTGAAGGAGGAAGAGTAATCTGTCTTGGTAGTTGTCTGTCTTGCTTTCTACCATGTGCTCAAATGAATGTATAAAATTCTTATATAGAAAAATGTCTCCTTCAAAGACTTGCAAATTATCTTTAGGCAAAGTGGTTAAACTTTGTTGTTTCACTGAATGCTTGTCAATTCAATTTGTCTTTTTAGGATTTCTGTAACACCATAATTTCTTGAATCATGTTTTTGACATTCTTGTGTTGTGCCAGGAGGCCGATGTAAAGCAGTTTGATGCTCTTTTACGTTCACAATACTGCTGCCTTCTGCAGATGTCTGCTGTGGACTTGTATTATACGAATCGGGAAAATGAACTGCAACATCTTCTGTCAGGCATGTAACTGGAGCTTTTTCACCAATTGAATAGAACTCCATATTCTACATTTCAACAAAGTAAGCATTTGCACCATCAGTGTCATTAGGACCCGAGCACCAATGGTGTGACGACCCTATTGGAATTGCTCCGTTTATTATACAATGTACTTCCTTTAGCAGACATTTCTTCATTTTTTAAATAATTAATTTTGGCTGTAGTAGCTGCAATTTTTTGTTTGAATTTCAAGAACTTCTCTTATTCATGCAGAGGATTATTGCAGAGATGTTGATGATATACTAGTTCTTGATTTGTCAGATTTACTAAACACTGACCCAGCCACTGACACCTTGGCTTCTTCCTCAAAAAACTCATTTGATTTATCAGCAACACTGATTTCAGGTCAGGACGTTCTATTGCAGATAACCATTTTGTAATATCGTTGAGAAATTGATTTGTTCCAGTCTTGGTTCATACCAATTTTTCACATCCTCCATTTTATCCTTTTCATCTAACATTTCAACATACGATGACAGCAACAATTTGAATTCGTGAAACATCTGGTTGAATTTCAGCAGATTTCCTTCCACTTCATCATAGCACTCCTTGTAGAGAGTTAATTCAAATTCCCGAAGGACTGGCCGAGATGACGAGAAAGGCCACTGATGGCCTGGAGCTCGTGTCTAAACAGATTGTAAAATAGTGTCCCAAATATCTTCCAAATTAAATACAGATAATTTAATTTATAAAGGTCTCAGAAACAAAGTACAAGAATTACGGAAGTCAAAAGTATCATATTATACACAATTAATAGAGAGTGCCAAAGGTCAAAGTACAGCCCTATGGAAACAATTAAATAATTTTACAAATAAGACTCAAAAGCAGCAAACAATCAAAGAATTACAAATAGATGGAAAAGTAATTGATGATAAAGCTACTCTGGCACATGAGTTAAATACATATTTTATATGTTCAGTAAATGAACTGGCTCAAAATTTTAAATCAATACCATTAATAAATAAGGTGGAGGATGAGCTATCAAATTCATTTTTTATCAAGGAGATTGAAAAAAATAGAATTACTGAAATTGTAAAGATTTTACCAAATTCAACAGCAAAGGGTGTTTACAAGATATTAATTTGATAAAAAAATATAGCTCCTTGATGATAGCTCCGTTAACTCATTTGATAAATTTATTGATGTGTTTTCCCGAAACTTTGGAAAAAGGCTGTAGTTACACCACTCTTTAAATCAGGGGATCCCAGTCTGATTTCAAATTATCGACCAATATCAATTTTTATGTCAACATTTTTGGAGAAGGTAATAACCTCCTTCACCAACATCAATTTGGTTTTAGACCACAGCATTCCACAGAAACAGCTATTTGTTATTTCTTGGAAAAAACTAGGCATTCTTTGGATCAGGGACATGTGATGGGAGCAGTATTCATTGACCTAAAAAAGGCATTTGATACAGTTAACCACACTATTATTTTATCTAAATTAAGTGCATTTAATTTTAGTAAACTTTCAATCGAGTGGTTTACCTCATATTTAAATCTAAGAGATCAGTGTGTTAAAATTGAGGATACAAAATGTTTGTTAGTTTGTTTATAAATGATTTACCATGTTGTTGTCCAGATGTTAAATGTCAGCTTTATGCTGATGATACAGTAATTTATACATCTGCTAAGTCATCTCCCAAGGTTGCTGCAATTTTAAAGGAACAAATGGAAAGGATATCTATATGGCTCCAGGAAAATCATCTAACTCTGAATGTTAAAGCTGCAGTCCGCCATCTCTTTGTCGCCATCTCCGTTCGAAATCTGCAATTGCAGTCATTCGGAATTATCAACTTTACGTGAGTTGTAGTTCGACACGGCACAGCGCGGATGAACACAATGTTTGAGGAGAGTGCGCAGCTGTCAATCACCGCGCCGGTGTCGATACTGGCATTCAGAATCACAGATTATTCTTTTTGGAAGTATGACCAACATAATAATTTTCACCGGAAAATGTCATCTGAACAAGTAAGAAACATCCACTTTTGTTCTGGTTCTGACATTGCAGTAAATCGCGCTGATTAAATCTAACAATCGCTTATAAGTTATCATATCACGCAAAACCGTGCAAATTATACTTTGTTCTCAAATTGTAAATGTTAACAACGCCAGCATTGCGTGACTACATGTATTGTCCTTCCGATATTTATCATTGTTTTCGCATGGGTCCGGTTGCAGTCTCTTTTTTTCTGTAGCCACTCCGAAGTCCGAACGAAGTCTTTTGCATTTTACAGCGGGTGAATCTGTTGTCACTGGTGATTGTCGTTTGAACCTTTCTGGATCCGCCATCAAATTGATAAGTTTAATTATATCAAGTGCTGTGAGAAAAGGCTATAAATCTCCACCTCCAACATCCTCACACGCAATATAGCCTACTAGCCGAGACTCCTTCTTTATGTGATGTGACGTAATGACGCAAAGACATGCTCGAATCTCCCGCGGAAATCCACCATTACCACTGGAATTAAAAACATTATTACAAGCTTACCGTTTTGAATCGAGCTACGGCAAGCAGGCTGAACACTGGCTGGTTATGTATTTTCGCAAATATGTATTTTGGATAATTATTAACCCCAAAAAAGCCACGGACTGGAGCTTTAAGAAAACTGTTTATGTGCTTTTCTAATAGAAAGCAAAAAGAAAAAGTAACAATTCGGGTTTAATTTTAAAATAGAGTTAAATTTTTTAGGTATTGTTATAGATTCCCAACTTAAAGGGTTAGTTCACCCCAAAATGAAAATTCTTATGTTATGTTGTTCCAACCCCGTAAGACTTTTGTTCATCTTCGGAACACAAATTAAGATATTTTTTATTAAATCTGAGAGCTGGATCACTCCTCCATAGGCTTCAAAACTTGCCGGCCCAGAAAAGTTTAAGACATTGTTAAAATAGTCCAAGTGACTACAGTGGCTCAATCTTCAGTTTATCAAGCGACGAGAATACTTTTTGTGTGCAAAAAACAAACAAAAACTAACGACTTTATTCAACTATTCATTTCCTTCTCTGTGCATGGGCCGCGAGATTTCACGTAGTGTAACTGCGCAGCGCTTCTAGGTTGTACGTCACATGCATCACACACATGACCAGCGTCGGCCAATAGTTAGTCTACGTCTGACGTACAACACAGAACCGTTGCGCAGTTCCACTACGTGAAATCTCGTGGCCCACAGAGAAGGATCCTTACAATAGGTATAGGTCAGGTATGTATTTGAATGTGTAAAAATGACATGCTGTGTTAGTTTTATTCTATGATTAGTAGTTTTTTTTGTTTTTTTTTTACATATTTTCCAGTTTTTGACTGGATCATGTTTTTTTTGTACTGTTTTTTGTACTGTCCCTATACAAATAAACTTATAAATAAAAATAAATGTTAAATAAACGTGATGTGACTTTAGAGTGCCGAATTGTTATAGCTCATGCAAACATATCCACCCTGCTATGATCAGATGCTTTTCTTATGCTTTATTAAAAAAAATTGTGCTGTTTTCTCAATTTTGTTTTGTGTTTATTTTGTTTTTGAGAAGAAAGCGTTCAGCGCATTTACATATGTGGGCGGTGTCGGATGTTCGCCAAAACAAAGTATGCTGGTCACGTATTTCGAACTTCGTTTTACCCATATGAAGAATGAAAAAAAACTTCGCAGGGAGTATTGAAATGTAGTTTTAAGAGGCGAGAATGTAGAGAATGCGTCTGTGCGCTCTAACTAACTAAATAAATAAAAATAAATAACTAAATAAAACGCTGTTGAAACGTATGTAAAATGAATAGGCCTAGATACATTTAAGAACCCCCTCCCAAAAGTAAATTTGTACTTGGCGGGGCTATAGGCCTACTTTTAATAAAGATATGACATGAGTTTCCAGAAGACAATTGCGACATATGTTCTTTAAACGCATCCACAAGATTTAAAGTATTTTTTTTCTTCAGTATTTGTACAAAACGTCCTCCCACCGTCGCGGCCCTTGTGCGCATGAGCCAAGCGTAATAGAGTCCGTGAGCTTCACCAACACAAGCGTTAAAACGCGCAGGACTGAACGCCTCTATCACGATGGACAGTGAATGGCTTTTACTTCGCCATAAAATATATTGTCATTAGAAAAGTTTTTTTTCTTCTTCTTCTTCTTTTCTTTTCTATATTTATTTTTTTAAGAGGGAAATGTGGAGGCGCTACTATGCTTCAGCACTCTGGACAGCGCGCGCGAGTTGAGCCTAATGTGACTTATTAGGCTACTGGCTACCGTAATTATTTTGTCTCAGAGGAAGAATCATGCAGCTGATAACATTCATCACAAACTGGGGCAAATATATGGCAAAGGGGCTTCTAAAGTGAGAAATGGACTTTGCGGAAATTCTATTAGCTTTGTTCATCGTTGTGGTTGCGATTGTTTCTTTGGTGTCGAACTTACTGGTGTTGCTATGTTTCATCCACAGCAGCGAAATACGCCGACAGGTGCCAGGGGTGTTCACCATGAACTTGTCATTTTGCAACATACTGATTTCTGTCCTGAACATGCCATCCACTTTAATTGGGATTTTAAAGCACCAGCAGCCTTTTGGAGAGTGTCTCTGTGGCACGCTAAGCTTTCTGGAGACCTTTCTGACAGCCAACAGCATGCTAAGCATGGCAGCCCTCAGTATAGACCGCTGGATCGCCGTAGTTTTCCCACTAAGTTACTCTAGCAAAATGCGCTACCAGGACGCGTTGGTCATGGTGTGTTATTCTTGGCTTCACTCGTTCACGTTCTCTCTCATCCCGGTGTTTTTCTCATGGTTTGACTACAGTCCCATTTACGCATCCTGCACGTTGCATTTGAGCGAGGAGAGCACACGGATTAAGTTTACTGTGTTCACCATTGCCTTTCATGCCACCAGCTTCATGCTCTCGCTTCTGATTTTGTGCGTTACATACTTAAAGGTGTTAAAAGTTGCACGCTTTCACTGCAAGAGGATTGACATTATAACCATGCAGACCCTCTTCTTACTGGTAGATATTCATCCAAGGTATTTGAACATTTATTCTTAGTAAGCATCATTGGGATGTTTTACCAGGTTTCCCATGGTAAAATGTGTCATTAATATTTTGTAAAACTCTTTTGTATAGTGTTAAGCAGCGCTGTCTTTCAGAACAAAAGAGGAGAAAACAGCGCGCTACTAAGAAGATCAGCATTTTCATTGGCTCTTTCATCATCTGTTTCGCCCCTTATGTTATTACAAGGTATGCCGCTTATTATTTAAAAGCTTAACATTTTATAAACCACTAGGTACAAACACTTTGTAATAATCTGGGAGGGGTTGATTATCAGACAGTATGATACAGAGATCTGAATATAGTGAGGCTGATGAGGGACGCAACGAAGCGGTTTGCAGCGTTCAGTAACGTTCAATTGTGCATTATGATCTTAATTGCTTGCTTGTAGAAATGTTTTACTCTTGAAAAGACAAAAGTGCCTCGAAATGGCGTCATTTAATTGAGTCGTGACTCGTGAGATGACGCTGACAAGAAAAAAAATGTTTCCAAGAATAGCTCTTGTGCGCCAGAGGTGACAGAACACAATCACTTTTCGTCTCTGGGATTCGCTAATGATCTTGAAAGCTCACCTGATCTCAAATAAATAAATAAAAACAAAAACAAATTTTCTCATCCATATTTACTTCTCACTGCTACTATACTGTGTCTGTAAAACCTACTATCCTTACTTCTCTTCCCTTCAAATAAAATGGTCAAATAATGTCAAATCGTTATGTTAAACATAGGATCAGAACTGATTTTTAGTTTAGTTTTTTATCTTTTGACAGAGTAAAAACGAAACAATGATTATACTACAACAATAAAAGCATTTTATCATTAATTATTTTATATAGTTTTGTATATAAAGGGCCTATTTATTTTCAAAGATACTTAATATAACCATTATGTATTACACTTATGGAACAGTATTTTCCCATATAAATAGCCAAAATTGTCCATTGGTAAGCTACTCATTTCTCACATAAGAATGAATAGTTATTAAAATTGGAGTAATTTTCAGAGCAACACCTTAACATGCTACTTTTAAGGACTGAATAAATAGTGCTGTTTATCAGTAGATTCTTTGAAAGATATATTTTGTGTGAGAAACATGCAAAACTTATTATGGTCTTTTATAAAATGAAAAACTTAATAGGAATTAATCCGTTAGATAACTTAAGGGAAGTTATCTAACGGATTAATACCTATTAAGTTTATCATTATATAAAGGACCATGATAAGTTTTGCATGTATTTCACGCACAAAATATATTCACTGCTTAAACAGTCATGGTAAATGAATACTGAGTTGTGTTTTTGTGTGCTTCTTGTCTAGATGCTGTCATTATGTTAATGGATTTGTCTCTGTTTCACAGGTTGACTGAGCTGTTTCCCTTTGTGGATGTCAACCGACACTGGGGTATTGTCAGCAAGTGTTTAACATACAGCAAGGCAGCTTCAGATCCCTTCGTCTACTCCCTCCTGCGACAGCAGTACAAGAAGGTCTTGATAACAGTGGCCAATCGCCTGTTGAAGCGTGATTTAAACCCATCCTCTGGACACAGCAGCTCTATGGACACAGAGAATGACTACAGTCTTCAGAGAATCAGCTAATGGCACTTGCACAAACAGGAAAAGCCAAATGCCTTGTTAAAGGTGTGTGTGTGTGTGTGTGTGAAAGAATAGGACTGTGTGGTCACAGTTGGCGGCCTTTGCAATTTGGCAGCCAGTTTCAAACAGTTGGAACCCTCAAAAAGACATACAACATATATACGCAATGCGACGGCAATTACTTTATTATCTCTGTTGTATTTAACAATGTTAACTCATATTTCACTCTTAATAGTCTGTTTTTAAATGCATTCTATCTACCACCATCCACTATCTAAAAACAAAATCAACATTCAATCTTCATCACTCTCTCAGCCCCTCAGCAAGCACCTTGGACAGCGTAATTAAAAGGCAGTGAGAGCAAAGTCTAAAATCTAGAACATCGATTAAATAAGTGATTTAATAGGAGTTAATACAATATGAATATGAATAATCTACATCAAGAGAAAATATTTTACATTTAGGCCTATTCCGATTTTGACGTTAAGAACTTGGCTTTCCAATGGCGGAGACCTTCAAAAGCTCTGACAAGTTTATCCTTATTATCCAGTGAACTCATAACGTTGTGTTAAATTGACATCTGGGCAAGTTTTTTCTTTCTTGCAGCTTGGTGGACCGCATATATGATTTTATCAGCTTCAAGCACAAGATATAAATATATTGACAAAATGAAATTAAGGGGAAAAAAACGTAATGAAACTAAAGCTGCCCGTAGATAGCGGCAAATCATTGTCTTGACGAGTGAGTGAACCATTTAGTCAAACGAATTGTTCAAAATGGCTAATTCATTCAAGGACAATGCAAGTGACTGTCTTTATGAGTGAGTCATTGAGTCATCCATTAGACGGATTCTCAAAAAACGTGGATTGATTCAGTAACGAAACATCACTGTGTTGCTCGGAGACAAGCAATGGCAATGTGGATTTGTTTGGAACTATTTTCATTGACGAAATAGAGCAAAAACAGATGTTTTAAGTCTAAAATGAAAGCCACCTAATATTAATTGATTTATTGAACTTTTGTTTTCCAGAAAACAGCACACTATCCTGCAAGAACTCATACAGGGACATTTTTTGCCCTATATATCTCGAATTTTGGGGGCATTTTTATTCATTTTGGTGGTATTTCTGCCCTGAGCCCACATTCATTTTCTACCCTGGTGTGTGCACGGTGTAATGGTGGGGATTGGGGCTCTTTTTCGAGTGCAAGCGAAGGCCCCTTCTGTTGCGAGGCCCGTCTCAAGTGAAACGGGTGAAACACGGCAAAGGCCACTACTGGTCATAACAATGTAATGAACCACTCTATTGTAACAAGAACGCTGGGATTAACAAGGACACCAGCAAAGTGCAGAACATATAGGCTACATATACAGACTTACAATAAAATCTGCAGAGTAACATTACACCACATATTGTTAACTTTCTTGTTAAAAGAATTTTCACTCAAAATGCATACTGGACAGTGATGCATTTTATTATATCTTAGTAATTGACATTAGTGACAGAACAGCCAAAGCTAAAAATCTCTACTACTGATGTCAGAACTTTTATAGCTTTTAACATAACTCAATGTACTAGATTCCTATAACAGCTAATGCTAATACTCTGTGCTCTTTGGTGGGATGTTGCAAGTTGTTTTTAAAAGATGACTTTGTTAAACTCTTGATGTATAGCTACTTTGCACAGTACAAGAAATGTATAGTGTACTTATTTACAATGAATTCAGTTAAACTGTTTGCAGAGTACCAGAATTCAAGTGCTTTATAAAGCTTTATTAGTTTGTTAACATTTGTTCAATTCATTGTTTTGTGAAAATGGTGCAATAAAAAAAAATGAAATAATGAGTAAACCTCTAAATGGAAACATGTACACTATTTTACTAAATTAATAGGAAAATTGATTGATTAGATTATTTTATCAGATTTATTTAATCAATGCTATGTATTTTTTTCTACTAGTGCAAGTTTAAGGATGAAACTAGTTAGTGACTTTTATAGGACCTATGATCTTCTGATCATAAAGAAATAATAAATTGTAAGTCTTTTAAAACAAGCGTTAAAAAAAAGAAAAAAAACCAAGAAACAAGAAATTGAGGAGATGAAACTCAAGAGTAGGCGTTGTTCAAAGGTCGGTGTCTGGGCTCGGCAGAACATCGCTATAGAGGTTTTCATGTTTGCTGTTATATATATATATATAGTACTGGTGAAATGTAAACGGATATTTCCTACTGACACGCTAAAGCAAAGATATAATTAACTGTATTAAAACCTTTTTTTTGGGTGAAAACGTGCATGCCTAAGACTTTTGCACAGTACTATATAACGTCTCAAAGACCTTGAAGAACCTACCTGCAAAGCTGCTTGAAAAATTGTGTAAGTGTACCAAGGACAAAAGCGGTTTTAAATGCAAAGGGTGGTCACACCAAATATTGATTTGATTTAGTTAATAGAAGTTAACTGATAAATGAAATCTATTTATGACATTATTTTTGAAACCATCCTCAATTTACAGCTACCAGGGTGTGGCTTTGCTGGTTTCTTCAGGTGTCTTGGAGACGTTGCCGCAGTTCTTCTAGATTTAGTCTGTCTGAGTTTTTTCTGTTTCTTCATGTAATCCCAGATGGACTCGATGATGGTGGGATCAGATCTCCGTGTGGAAGCATACCGGATCAGACTCCTTGTGCATGCAAAAATCTTACTGGATTATTACAATTAATGGGAATTAATTGTAATAATCCAGTAATCCCCCCACTCCCGCCCCAGCAAATCAGGAACCAGAGGAGGGAAAAAGGATAAAAAATAAATAGATAGGTCAATTAGACATAATACAAAATAATATATTTATTGCACATTGATAGACATTATAATCTATCACACCTCAGCATATGCCCAGTGGTATGAAATCAATGATCAACAATCACCTTCAAGATATTTAAAAGAAAAATGACATCCAAATCAGTAAGAAAGTCTTCAGTTTACCAGCAATTTCATATCTAATCTTTTACATATGTAAAATACTGCTAAACTTTGTTAACCACATCTCAAATTTAGGTACAAACTCATTGTTCCAAATCAGAAAAATTGTCTTCTTAGCTATTGTCATCCCGTACTGAACCGTCTGAATTTGATTGAGATTGTAGGTCTCCAAACACGGGGCTCCAGCCTCAGATCTCAACCCAGAATCCTCCACTTCCTTCAGTTCGGGCACCACATACATGACCACGGAGGCCGTCACAGAGCCCCCTGCTCTCCTAGACAAAGCCAAACACCCCTTTCTCAGCTCTCAAGTCAGCTGGCCCTCCAGACATTCTTGAATTTAAATCTTAATAGAAAAATTTATTTTCTTAGTTTCTGCATGTGCTGTTGTTTTAAGTCATGAAACAGGTTTGTATTGCCTAACTTTGATGTGCAGTTTGCAATATTATATAATAATATAATTTTTATTATATAAGAACTTTTTGTTTTCTCTTAGAAATGCACATTTGACAGTAGCTTGAGTTGACAGTAGTAGTAGTAGCTTGAGTTAGGATGCAGATTTTATGTTCATTAAAAACGTGTAAAAAAAAATGTAACAATTTTTATATTGTAAAATTGTAATATTCTGTTTAAATTTTATTAAAATGAACCATTGGTCTTCCATAGTAGCATATATTTAGATCATGATAACCACAGTTAAACGACAAATTAAACACAATGTACTATTTTAATCGATTGCTGGACATCGTAATGTTATTGTACATAGGTACATCAGATTTATGATTTAGCATTGTATTAGCAGAATAGATTAGAAAAACCTGTTGAGTCCTCCAACACCCTCGGCCCGGACGTGGCGGAGCGTCCGGCGCCAGGCCTTTATCCGTTGAATCCTTGAAAAACGGGTCTAGGCTGGTTCCCATATGTGTGACCCTGCGGGGATCCCATATGTGTATTTCTTCCACGGCTGCTCCTAAACGGAAGCCTGTGTCTTTCCCTTGGGGTAAGTTACCCAGTATTTCATATGCAGTACAACCTTCGGGTTAGTCCATATGTATATAGCCACATAACTCCTTCGGGGAAGAATGTGGGTTCTGCAGCGTTCTCCTTCCTAACAATAATCTTACTGGGTCCGAAAACTTGGTCCATATATCAAACACGCTTGCATGAATTAGTATGAAACTCGGTACACATATTAGAGATGTTCCGATACTCTTTTTCCCTTCCCGATACCGATTCCGATACCTGGACTCAGGGTATCGGCCGATACCGAGTACCGATCCGATACCTGGGTCTGTACAGTATCTATACAGTTGCAATTCATACTAGCACTGTATGAATTGATAGAATTATTTTATGGTGTGCTTCAGACTTATCCCTTAATTAAACATGAACAAATACATAGAGTGAACCAGAGTATTTTTATTATCTGACATACATTTCACAGCAATATATTATTTATCTTTCTTAAGTGAAAAAGAACTTAAAATGCAGCCACACATCTAATACTGTAAACTGAAAAAAGGTATTTTAGATTTACAATATATAACTGTATAAAAAAAGTGCAACAAATAAATCTAGGAATCTAAAAAAATGATATATGAATAATATAAGAAAATTATCTCTTTATAATTTAAGGTCCATAAACAGTTTTGTTAAATAAACGGCATTTTAGTTTTGACATTGGCTGGTCATCCAGAATAATAAACTTAATAACTTACATGTTGTGTCGGTTATATTTATGATCGCTCGTTGGCTGTCTTTTGAAAACATTTCTCTTCGTTTGAATGAAGCTTTCAGAGATTGTTGATTCTGGCGCGGCTCATCCTTCTCTGCCCTTGCCTTTGTGTAATCGTGTTCTGCGGGGTTACTCGGTGTTACTTGAAGTTGCTAATACTTGTTCCACCCCTCGAAATTGCAGTATGGCATATGAGACATGTCGCCGTTTTACTAGCTGGTTGTCCAGTCTGAAATACTGCTAAACAGCTAAACTGCTAAACTACTGCAGGGCGCGCGCGCGTTTTCTTCTTCGCTGCTCTAAACAGTAGTTGCTTGTGTGGCAACAGCACGACTTCCTGTGTTGCCACAAGCAACCACTGTTTAGAGCAGCGAAGAAGAATTGAGCTCCGATTTGCAGCGTTATGCAAAGCTAGCGTGCATAACTAGTTATTGTTTAAGAAAATGGTATCGGATCGGTACGCGGATAGAAGTACTCGGCGATACCGATGCCAGAATTTTTATTGGTATCGGCGGCATTTCCGATACTAGTATCGGAATCGGAACAACTCTAACACATATAGATCACATCGGGCCGAACAACTTATAACTAAGTTATACACCAGCCCAACAGGAAGTCAGCTATTGTTTGGAAAACGCATGCTGTGGAATTTGATATACTCCTCCTATGAAATTCATCCGATCACCACCAAACTCGGTGTGCATGAAGTCAAGACACCGCTGTCGGTGTGTGAATGGGTGAATGTGAGGCAATATGTAAAGCGCTTTGGTGGCCATTGGGTCTGTGAAAGCGCTATATGAATGCAGTCCATTTACCATTGAGGATGCTAAATTGCCAGCAGATTTTTGAAATCTCGAACGGTTTGGCCGTGGCGAGGATACGAATTTATAGCAAAGAGAAACAGGAAGTGTTATAACTTCTGCATACATTAACTGATCTTGACGAAACTTCAGCAGTGTGTTTGTTGTAAGAGGCTGATCACAAGGATGTTCCTATTATGAGTCAAAGTTATAGCGCCACCAACTGGCAGCAGGAAGTGTGTCACTTTCAAAATACTTTTGACAAAAGTGGGGGGCTAGTATTACCTACAGTCACAAAACTCGGTATGTATATTGTTCTCATCGAGCCGTCTTACATTCTCACAGCAATGTCTGTCAATGCATTCGCAGTAGCAAGTCTCGGTACTTGCACTGCAGCAGCGTAGAGAATCTATTGCACCAAGACCAAATACATCAACATTGCCATATCCATTACCATGCAAATCTCTTATTATCATACCAATTTCCTAAGAGTTGTCATGACAGAATTGTGGTAATGGAGTGGCCAGGTGGGTGACATTTAAAAAAAAAAAGCAGTTTCTAAAGCAAAACCCAAAAAATTCACAGGAACTGTGGAATGTAGTTAGTTCCCCTTGGGCTAAAATACCAATTTCTAGGTGCCAGAAGTTAGTTGACTCGATGCAACGCAGATGTGCAGCAGTTTTCACAAATAATGGCTATGCAACTGAATATTATCTCAGTAAAATAAAATTAAATCTTACATTTATTCAGTTTATAAGTGTTTGAGACAAGTGTACCAAAAAACAAAACGGCAGCAGTGTAGCAGATGTATTCCGCCAATATCAAACATGTTAACATTGTCATAACCATTACCATGCCAAACACTCAAGCTGTCATGACAGAATTGGCCTCAGTTTAACAATGTTTCTCAACTGATAAAAACAAGTAAGAACAAGATAATTAACATGCTGATCAAGACTCAAGGCCTGTTCCACAAACACCTAAATTACAAAGGGTAGCTTTAACAGAATAAGATAAAGGGACAAGGCTGTCCATCACTTTCGGGAGAACACCAGCAAGAGGAGAAATAAGAACTTCTGGGTTTTTTTTCAGTATTTAAAGGGAGTACACCCAAAAGTGAAAATTCTGTCATCATTACTCACCCTCAAAATGTTCCAAACCTGTGTGCATTTCTTTCTTCTGCTGAACACAAAAGATGATAATTTTGAAGAATGTCTGTAACCAAACAGTTGATGGCCCCCCATTGACTTCCATAGTATTTTTTTTCCCTACTATGGAAGTCAATGGGGTCATTCAACTGTTTGGTTAACCATATTTTAAAATATATTTTGTGTTCAGCAGAAGAAAGAAATGCACACAGGTTTGGAACAACTTGAGGGTGAGTAAGTGATAATTTTTGGGTGAACTATTCCTTTAACGGCAAGTAATTATCTGCCATCCAATCTTTTATATCGTTTTTGCAATTTAGAAGAACAGCCAATTTTGTAATTTCATAAGGCTTAAAATAAATGATAATAAATGCATAATCTGCATAACAATGATAAACACCGTTAAATGTACGTATTAATTGCCCAAGAGGCAGCAAATATAGCGCAAAAAGCAATGGGGCCAAAACAGAACCCCGGGGAACACCATAGAACAGAAATGCTGTTGATGAGGCATAATTTTGAACTCTGGCTGAAAAAGACCTGTCTGATAAGTATGAAGAGAACCACTTTAAGGCTGTTCCAAAGATGCCAACACACTCAGTTTTCCAGGAACTTAGCCATGAAAGCTAACTTAGAAATAGGTTTATATACTTTTGGGGCAAAGATTGATCAAGATTCGTTTTCTTGAAAAGTGGTTGAACAACAGCTTGCTTGAAATACATTGGAACAGAACCAGACGTCAGAGACTTAATTATAGAAAGCATGCAAGGGCCATGGCGTCTAACATTTTTAAACAAAGCAGTGGGTACCAATGGACTAAGAGAAGCTAACCAGTTTGGTAAGATCTTCTTATGTTATCTGAGAAAAATTCTCCAGGAGATACAAAATATTTTGAATGGAAGTAGAATGAATAATGTTATTTTATATATTGTTTATCTTAGCCACAAAAACCAAGTAAACTGTTGCTGATGGTGTCAAACTGAATTTTGGGATTGTGTCTACTACTAGATGTGACTCCAATATTGTAACATTGCATGTGTTTAAGGGATCAGCCAGAAAAAACTTTTTACATCACATGTCTTATAAATCAAAATAAACTGTCAACAACGCAGGTACAGCAACTCAAAAGCATCAGCATAGATTCATTTTTACAAAATGCTTCTGATACCCCAAACAGAAATAATGTAATTTTCAATGAGGGTGTTTGAAGCAGGTTGACAATCAAAAATTGTATGCTTATCCTGAATTCTTGTTTGACAAGCAAAAGCCAGTACTTCAATTTTAAATATAATTTAAAGAAATTATACCCCAAATTATACCTCAGACCCCAAACAGAATCCCCCATTGAACTATTATAAAAACGCTTTTGAAATTCCTTTTCTATTTGTGCAGTTAGATGCATCAGGGTTAAGAAACAGTTTTTGTTCGCTTCAGATCTAATATGCAATCACAAACTCAACATTAATCTTTTATTTTTTACAAATATATCCTTACTGGTTTTACAAAAGATAACTGAAGTAAAGTAGTAAAGCATTTGCATGTGTGAATAAACATGGAAAAACTGGTGACACTGGAATAAGGTAAGGTACACGACAGATGAATAGAAGTCAAATTAGAAAACATTTTACTTGAATACTAATAAAAAATATATATATATAAAAAAATTGAGCATGTAAAAAAAAAAAAAAAAAATGAAATTCAGAATGTTTGAAACTTTGGCATCTAAAAAAAACAAAAAAAACAGGTTACCCCACCTTCAGAACAACGAGAAGCAGAACACAGATTTTTTTTGTGCATATAAAATAACATTTTAAAAAGCCATTTATTCTGAATCTTTTAAGATTTGCCACTCTTCGGCTGCAGACAGGATTGATCATGTTTTGAGGCGTGTCTAGAGGAGAGATTAAAATAAGTAAAAAATAAAACTACTTATTTGGCATGTAAAAATTAAGGAAATATTAACTAGTGTTACAAGGAACAAAAACAGAGACCAACAAAATGGCTGTCAGGAGTCGTACCGTTTTTGTCTGTACTTTTCTTGGTCAGCAACAGGCATCATGTGCATAAGCTCCAAACTAGCGTTTATAGTTTTCAGCATTTGAAAACGCTCTTTGCCCCGTACCTAGAAAACAATGAGGAAAAAAAAAAACCTTAAGAAATTCATGAATTGTCTTTTTGTAAAATAAGTTAATTTAAAAATATTCCCATGCTACACACATGAAGAACGTAGAGGTCTTCGTCAGAACTGGAGTCAGCCTTGATCTTCTTGCACGCAAGACCAGCAGCAGGGAGCGGCTCTTTTAACTGATCAGAAACCTGACGCTCTGGTGTGATTGGGTTAAGGTGAATAAGATTTAACAGATAAAATAGTTACAAATAATGCACATAATACTGGGATGGGTTAGATATTACCATTTTTTTCAATTGCTAAAACACTAAACCCCATTCTCTGGACCAAATGCTCAGTGGCCTAAACATGTTTGTCAAATCACTCTTTAGGCAAAACCTCCAACAAGTTCAGTTAGACACTATTTGCAATTCTTATGCACTCTTTTTGCAAAACTCTAAACACATTCTCACTCACTAAAGCATTTTGCACTGTGCTGGAAATCAAAAGTTGAACAACTACAACACAGTTGTCATTGTTTACACACAACCACTTGTTCACATTTGTTTTTTACGATGTGATTAAAACAACTGTACAACATATAAGCCAGTTCAGAGTGCACAGGTGCACTGACGTTGATACAAACAATGGATGCAAACTATCTGAGAGGGAGAGGAGGAACTGTACGTCTAAGAGGTGATGGACGAGGAGGAAGAGGATGAGGGCGAGAAAGAGCTGGCTCTGGCACACCAGAGGGTTTTTCCCATTGCCTAGCAAGGGACATCATTGCCTGTGATGTGAACAATGTCCTCAGGATGGACCCAGCACAAAGACGTGATGCTGAGGAAGATTTAATCTAACATTGAACTTTTTTTGCAAAATATTATTTTTGAGTGTACTATAACATGAAAACATTTGGAGTTTTCTATAACCTTTTGCAGTTGGGACTACTGCATTTTTACAGTATGGAAATGCTGAATAAACAAATTCAATCCTACACAATATTCACTACAATATTATACTTGCAGTACACAATATATTCAGCTAAATTGCAATAACAATACTTTACCTAATTGCCAAATTGGTTTACTGTATCCAATATTCTTTTTTTCTGCAACTACGTGCTCTGGATGCAGTGTTTCAAATTTTTTGATGTAGTGCATCAATTGTCTTCCCTGAATTAGGGCTGTTGATTTAATGCATTCATTTAATTAAAAGGCACAATATGTAAGATTTTTGAAATTAAAATATCCAAATACCACTAAAACTGTTAAATATTTTGTTGACTTGTCTACTTACATTATCCTAAATGTTTCCAACATTGTTTAAATCCAGAGAAATAAGCTATTTTAACCAGTGTAACGGCCCGTGTCATTGTGTCACCCGTCAATAACGTCATATCCAGTTTTACTTCCGTAGAGACCATGGAAACACTAAAGACACTTTAAAGGGATAGTTCACCCAAAAATGAAAATTAGCCCATGATTTACTCACCCTGACGCCATCCTAAGTGTATATGACATTCTTCTTTCAGATGACTACAATCGGAGTTATATATAAAAAAATGTCCTGGCTCTTCCAAGCTTTATAATGGGAGTCAATGGGTATATTTTTTTGGAAGTCCATCAAAGCGCATCCATGCCAAAGTGCTCGACACGGCGGGTTAATAAAGGCCTTCTGAAGTGAAGCAATGCATTTGTGTAAGAAAAAATATCCATATTTAAAACTTTATCGACTAAAATAACTAGCTTCCGGTAGACAGCCGTACGCAAGTCGACTTACGTCAAGAGTAACACTTGACATATGACGTAGGAGTAGCGCAAGCTTTGACACCTCTCGCGGTTCAAACAAACAGGGCAAGCGCGTTCGTCATTACGTTGTGCGTCAAGTTCAAGGGTTACTCTTTAAGCGCAAGTCGACTTGCGTACGGCCGTCAAATTTACATTTTAACGTCTAACCCTAACCCTAACCCTAACCCTAACCCTAACCCGAACAAAACGAACTGTTATTGGTTGTGTTACATGTCAGTTAAACGTCCTCTTGGGCAGTCCTTGGCCAATGAAAGCTGCGATAGAGTCCAGACTTCCTGCTGTAAGTCTAAAGGTCTGGCTACACGAGACTAGTTTTCCCTGAAGAGATACAAGTTGTTGTTGAAAACAAAAATTAAAAAGGGACGCGCATTCATTGCGTTTTACAGTGAAATGAGGGTTCCATGTCTTTAATAAAATCATCACATTAATTTCCCTCTCATCCAATCGCAACCCACCCCAAAATTAATTGGAATTTTATGTTTCATTACTTGGCCCGACCGACCCGTGGATTATTCCGGTGTCCGGAATAATCGTGCTCTGCGCATCACTATTGTGTGCTCCCGCAGAATGTCCTGAGCCCCGGCTCCGTTTGAGACCAGCAAGTTTTGAACCGATCTTTCTGGACAGGAACCGCCTTTCTGCAGTGGAAATGGGTTCAACGGTTCGAGAATGGACACAGGTAGTGGTTTTTTTTTGGTGTTTAAAGTTGTGAGAAATGGTTTAAAGAAATGTCTTAGCAATTGTACATTTTTTTAATTTGAGGTGGTATCCATCTTATTTTCAGCCTCCTCATTTAAACACTTACTTCTCTTTGTCCTAGGAACCATCTCCCCATTAATCTTTTTCAGGTTGTCTTCCTCCGTTTTGCGGTCACGGCCTGGACATGCACACACTCGAACTTCAAAACATCGGCGACCAAGGACCTGTTTGCTGTGAATAAAGAACACCACCAAACATTCAACCCTGATCTCAAGTACTGCCAGTAGGGGTGGGAGAAAAAAAATCGATCCATCGATGCATCGCGATTCTCTTTCCAACGATTCTGGATCGATTCTGAGAATTCCAGAATCGATTCTGAGCTTAGTTTTTAACCAGATGTGCGATGACATTGAGTTTGCTTTAGAAACACCCGTATTCTGCTTGCTTCCAATTCCTCACACACATACACCACTCGAACCTTCCGTAAAATAATCTTTCATAAAGTTCGGAAAGGTTGAAGCGAATTACAAGGACATTCACAGGCTTCATTGCACAGGATACGCTATGAGAGACGCGCGCTTTCTTTGATGTTACACTTGAAGTGTGCTGTTGCCCGTCGGTATTTTCCTTACAAATGCTCTACGAAGTCATCATTTATGTGGTTTGGAAGGCAGTGGACTTATATATTTAAAATATGAACCTCACTAACAGAAGGCTGCTTTCAATTTCAAATGCTGACGCGCGCTTTGTTTGTGAGACTGCTCGCGCATGCGGCTGTGCGACTCCGTGTAGTGGTTTAATGTACTTGTGCAAAATTAACGTAAACACAGCCAGTTATGTCTTAAGGGATTAAACGGACAGGACACACCGCATTACTTCTTTTATTTCAAAAGAGATGCGTGCGTGAATGCAGCTTAATAGATCTCCCGCAGTGACAGTCTATGATGTCATAGTAAAAAACAACAGTAGGCTAAAGATGAAGAAAAATCACTCACAGTTCTTGAATGGAAAACGTTCAGATAATCTATAGGCTACTGAAAGCACTTTTTGTTTGTTGTTTGTCATATTTTTCTATGCTCCTCTTTATTATTTGTTATATTAGTTTAAAATTCTTAACATACAACTGTTTTAATAAAAACAAATTAATTTGTAATTATTTTTTAAAAAGTACTTAATTACTTATGTAAACTAATGAATTAATAAGGGGTGGGGGGAAAGGTAGATAAAGAATCGTTCTGGAATCGGATCGTGACTCCCAGAATCGGAATCGGATCGGATCGTGAGGTGACCAAAGATTCCCACCCCTAACTGCCAGTACAAACAAAAGAAGAGAAAATAGGAGAGAGGGACTCACTCGAATGTCTCCAGGGTCAGTATGGTGAGAATTGGCCTCCTATTCATCCCACCCATACAGCTGCTATTGCACATGAAATTCAGTAGTATGGTGGTTACCACTGAACCCAGCTAGAGGGACAAAGACAAAATACAATCAATGAAGTTACAGAGAAGCACCGGATCCCCGGTGTCCTGGCCAAATTCCTCCATTAGCCCTTATCAATCATGACCTCCTAATTAATCCCCATCCTTTGAATTGGATCTGTCACTCCCTCTCCATCTATAGCTGGTGTATGGGGAGCGCACTGGCGCAGTTATATTGTGGCTGCCATCGCATCCTCCAGGTAGATGCTGCACACCGGTGGTGGATGAGAAGAGATCCCTTTGGGGCTACACAATTAATCATATTTTAATCGCTATAACTTAAATGATTTCTGCTTTTCTGAAAAAGAAAAAAATCGTTGCGATATTTGCCCAGTTGATTATTTGTCCTTTTTTATTTAGACATTTCCATTATCTTGCATTGGTAACAAGCATACACCATCTTGTATGGGCTTGCCAGATGTCAAGAGAATAAATCCCACAAACAGGGCTTTTCTCATAAAAGGATAAATTTTCTGCCCTGATGATCTGACAACACAGACAAACATGGAGTTTAACAATGTTCATTGTGAAATTATTTTCGTATGAAAGCGTCATACAGCCAGCCTGTGTTCCTTTATGAGGCCGTGTGTGCGATTTGCTGCTACTAAATCTGAAAGCGAATAAGGCAGCAATAAAGAACACTTTAAAATCTAGTGTTCATGTGATTTTATACATTGCATAATGTATGCATAATCGTGAAACCGTGATTATTAATCATACCAACAAAATCTATAATCGTTGCATCTAATCGACATAACACACATTTCCGAGGACAGCATTGGGCAGGATATGGAATAACATTGTTTAAAATAATGGATTAAAATTAATTAATTTTTTTTAGATTTTCCATCCGATTAAAGCTGCTGTAGGTAACTTTTGTAAAAATATTTTTTTTCCATATTTGTTAAAACTGTCAATATGTCCTGACAGTAGAATATGAGACAGATAATCTGTAAAAAAAAAAAAAAAAAATAAAAATCAAGCTCCTCTGGCTCCTCCCAGTGGTCCTATTGCCATTTGCAGAAATATACCGCTCCTGGTCAGAAACAACCAATCAGAGCCAGGAGGAATGTCTTAGCAGTGTCAATCACGCTCGTGTACGCGCTGATCACACCCCTCTCTAGCACAGTGCGTACCAGTCGTTCAAACTCAAGATTGGCGGAGAAACAACCTAAACTGCCAATTTCTCGAGTGGCACCTGCTCACAAAACAAAGACGGGTAAAAGGAAAAAGACAGATGACGATAAACAAGCGAAAAAGAAAGAATTAGAGCCCATTGACTCGGTGTCAAAACTCTAGCCGCGTAACATGTAGATAAAATGTCACGCACACTGTGCAAAGCAACAATTGAAACCTGCTAATTCACTGGCTTGTCATGTTGCTGAAATAATGTTGTGGCGAGCAGGACGAGGCCGGTGGCGTGAGTGATAATGAACGACACCTGTGAGACGCACCAGTCTCGCATCTCTCACGGAGGAACGGAAGCATAAAGGAGGAGCGACGACAGTGGAGAGAGGAACAGGCTTGATTTTACATTGTGATTTTATGTTCTGTTTTGTGTGCCAGCAGTCGTCCGTGAGGGTCCCTACTAGTGAATGTGACATAACTGTTTATCCGCCGTCATCGGTGGCCCTGCTTACTAGCCTGCACGTTCACGGCAGGCTCCGCTGTGGGGGAGGAACTGTGAAGGGAGGGAGCAGCAGAGAGCAAGGGGGTGGGACCTGTAAGTTGTGCTTGTACAAATTTTCAGGCTAAGTCAATGTTTTCTCAAAACTCCCTACTGCAGCTTTAATAGGGAAAAATATAATTGACAGATTAATCGATTATCAAAATAATTGTTAGTTGCAGCTCTTATCATTACGAAGCTTACATCACTCTGCTGAACAAATTGCCTCATATCAGCTCTAAAAATCATACAGCAGGGGTGCAAACCTCAATTCCCAGAGTTTAGTTCCAACCCTGCTCAAACATGCATACCTGTAGTTTTCAAATAAGCCTGAAGAAGTTGAGCTGGATCAGGTGTGTTAACCAGCACAGCTTTTGTAGTCTTTACGGTAGTGGTTTAGTGGATGAGGAAACACACAGACCAATTGCATGCGAGTTAAGCCATCCCACGTGATACTGCTCAACCAATCAAGTCTGTGCATTCCAGGCGGTAAACATTGCGACTCTACAGTGCAGACAGATGAGAGAGCTAGAGGCAGATGAGAGAGCTAGGAGGCAAGTTACACATGAAAAGGTAGGAAAAAAAAACAAGATAGGGATACAAACGACTGAACCAGAGAAAATTGAGAAGAAAGACGAGTGAGAAAGAGTGAGAGAGAGAGTGAGAGAAACAGTCTAGTGAGACGGAGAAAGGGAGAGAAAAATAAGCTACAAATGGTGCTCTCCAAAAAAAGAAATGCGGACAGTGATAAAGCAAGAAGAAACCATGGCACTTAATAAAAGTGCCAATATGAAACACCTTAATGAGACAAAACAAAGGTTATGAACAAACATACCCACTCAAAACTGAAGTGAGATCACAGAAAATAAGTAGTCTCAGAGCCCAATATGACCAGTCCACCAGGATCCTGAGCCACACATTCACTGCCCAACAACATGCTCATGAGTGTTCCCTCAGAGTTGCTTGGATTTTGGGTCAACATAAAAAGACATTTACTGATGGAGGGGTTGTCAAAGAATGCATGAGTGCAGTAGCTGAAACTACTTGAGGGAAAACAAAAACAAGAGCTTTGTGATAAAATAAAGCAAATATATCATCTGCCACAAAGAAAAGTGACATTAACTCAGGACGTGCTAACCCAGCTAGATGAAGCCATGCATAAGGCATCATGTGTAGGCTTAGCTGTGGATGAGTCCACTGACATCTGACAATGCTCAGCTGTTAGTGCATGTCAGGTTTTTCAACAGACCAGAAAGCATTCTGTGAAGATATGTTAGGTGTCACTCCCCTTCAGACCAGTACAAGAGGAGAAGTCATCTACCTGGCCATTAAGGAGATGTAGAGGAATAGAGCCAAAACAAGTGGTTTCAATAACCACAGATGGAGCCCCTGCTATGATAGGGAGAGATAAAGGAGTTGTAGTACAACTGAAAGAGGACAATCCTGAGCTCATAGCTTACCATTGCATCATTCATCAATCAGTCCTTTGCACCATTCATCAATCAGTCCTTTGCACCTCCCTGTCAGATGAGCACGCTGAGGTGATGAATACAATGATGAAAACTACACATTTTCTCAGGGCATCCTCTTCTAACCAGCATCGTATGCTTAGGGAATTCCTCAGAGAAGTTGATGCCAATGCTGATGATCTTTTGCTGCAATGTGAGATGGCTCAGCAAAGGCAGGGTGTTAGGGCGCTTTTGGTCCATCAGGAGGGAAGTAGCATCTTTTTTGGCAGAGCTAAGAAGTCAAAAGGCAACACAGTTTTATCTCTTTTTAGAAAATGAGAAACAGATGGATAACGTGGACTGTTTGGTTGATATCACTTCACATCTGAATGAAATGAATTTGAAGCAACAGGGCAAGGACAATTCAATTTGTGAACTGATGACAGCTGTCTGCTCCTTTCAGAGGAAACTTGAGGTGTTCAAGGAAGACTGTGCACACTTCCCAGCAGTGCAGGAAAAGGTTCAGGGACAGAGAGATGTGTCTTTTGTTGACTTTGATAAGTTGATTGTAAACTTAAGCAAGCATTTTGACAGCTTCAGCTTTGGACAGCAGCTCATCATGTTCATTCAGAACCCATTTCTCATCACAGATGTCAAGGGGTTCTCAAAGGAAGTCACAGCACTTTAAATGGGTAAATGCTGGGCCTTTCCAGATGCAATTGGTTGATCTCCAAGCAGATGTGGCCCTGAAAGAGCAGTTTGTAATAACTGACGCTTCCACTTTCTGTTCTAAATGGTCCCCGAGACAGCTTTCCCAGGTCTGAGGAAAGTAGTCATTTACATCTTGACCATGTTTGGCTCCACATAGAACTGGGAGGCAGCTTTCTCCACAATGAACAATCAAAACTAAATATCGTTCCAGGCTTACCAATGAGCACCTCCACGTATACGAGAATGGCCCTGACTCCATTCAAGCCCAGGTTTAAAATCCTGGCAAGACAAGCTAGCGCTCAATTCTCTCACTGAGCAAAAAAGTGGGGGAGTGGGATATAAGAGGGGAAGGAAGTGATACTCAAACTTTTCAATTGTTAAAATGTGTTGAGATTTATTATCTGTAAAATTGGTTGAGACTGTTGAGTCAAGATGTGAAACAGAAAAGGGGAAATTCAAGCTTTTCCTCCCTTTATTTGTCTGAAGTTAAAGCTGCAGTCCGTAGCTTTTTTGGGGTTAAAAATGATCCAAAATACATATTTGAGAAAATACATAACCAGCCAGTGTTCAAAACTCTATGCTTGCCTTAGCTCGATTCAAAGCGGTAAGCTTGTAATAATGTTTTTAATTCCAGTGGTACTGGTGGATTTCCGCGGGAGATTCGAGCATGTCTTTGCGTCATTACGTCACATCTGTACACAAAGGAGGAGTCTCGGCTAGTAGGCTATATTGCGTGTGAGGATGTTGGAGGTGGAGATTTATAGCCTTTTCTCACTGCACTTGATATAATTAAACTTATCAATTTGATGGCGGATCCAGAAAGGTTCAAACGACGATCACCAGTGACAACAGATTCACCCGCTGTAAAATGCAAAAGACTTCGTTCGGACTTCGGAGTGGCTAACTTACAGAAAAAAAGAGACTGCAACCGGACCCATGCGAAAACAAGGATACATATCGGAAGGACATTACATGTAGTCACGCAATGCTGACATTGTTAACATTAACAATTTGAGAACAAAGTATAATTTGCACGGTTTTGCGTGATATGATAACTTATAAGCGATTGTTAGATTTAATCAGCGCGGTTTACTGCAATGTCAGAACCAGAACAAAGGTGGATGTTTCTTACTTGTTCAGATGACATTTTCCGGTGAAAATTATTATGTTGGTCATACTTCCAAAAAGAATAATCTGTGATTCTGAATGACAGTATCCACACCGACGCGGTGACTGACAGCCTCACAGTCTCCTCAAACATTGTGTTCCTCCGCGCTGTGAGGCGTCGAGGGTGTTGAAGTACAACTCACGTAAAGTTGATACTTCCGCGAATGACTGCAATTGCAGATTTCGAACAGAGATGGTGACAAAGAGGAAAAAACGCCAGACTGCAGCTTTAAGCACTTTAATGAGAGAACATATATGCATGACTGCAGATATGTATAATGTTCAGTTCTGTGTTACATGACAAATATTGTCAAAAAGTTTTTGAATTGTACTGAATTCATTTGATTTGACAGTCAGGCATTGATTACATGCAGATGTTGATAAAACTCCTTGGCTACTTAAATATATACATCACACTAAATAGTTAGACAATATGATCTTCCGGAGCTTTGCTTCAAGAAACTGGACCTCTTTAAATTTTAGTTGAATATCCCTGAACTAAACTATGTACATCATTTTTTTACCTTTTGTTTCATAATAGATTTGATTTATAGAATACTTTTGCTGATTTTTTAAGTGTTACATAAACAGGACAGGTACCATCTACACAATATACATAGAAGTAAAATGTAAAAACTTACATTTTTGGAAAATTTGGATTATCTACTCTTGGAAACAGTAGATAATCAGTTGTTTTAATTGTCATATTCGAATTCACCACACCAAAATACATAATAAATAGCACATTTTATCTCCGAAGTAGATGACTTCGAAGATAAAAATTGTAGACCAGTGTGCAGTTTAAGCATTTTGAGTGAACAGTAGAACAAAAAAAAAGTGCTATATAATTGCTTCATTCATTCTTTAATTTAATCAAGAATTTAAGCAGTGTGCTGAATTCTAGCGTACCTGCGGGGACTCGTAAGGCAGCGTCACACTATGCCTCTTGGTGTTTAGATCCTGGTGGTACTGTATTTTTTGACTACCCTCCACACGGATGAGATGACTACGGTGAGAAATACCTGAGAAGAGGAAAGGACAATCAATATAGAAAAAACGTCTCTGGTTACTTGCGTAACCTATGTTCTCTGAATAGGGAACGAGACGCTGCGGAAAGCGCAGTGGGATATCCTCTGGATGTGCCGATTGCCTGAAGCCCTTTAGAATCACGTCAATTCTTTGGCTGATGGCGCTCGCGCAAAGCTGGCTCCGCCCCGACGCTCTTACGTTGTAGCATGATGAACGCGCGCCATCCTCTCCTCAGATTTCTCTGCCGAAAAGAAAAACTGTCGGCAGCGCGAGGAGCTTGGCAGCGAACGCAGCGTCTCGTTCCCTATTCAGAGAACATAGGTTACGCAAGTAACCAGAGACGTTCTCTTTCATAGGTTCACTCAACGCTGGGGAAAGCGCAGTGGGAACGAAATACCAAACTCGTCAAGCTAAGCGCTGCCATAACTGGTACCAGACCAAATAATAATAACCATGATCAGTTCAAGCAGATAGAACCTGGGAACCTGGAGTCATGTCAAGATCTAAATTACAGAACCTCACAAAGGTGTGCGGAGAGGACCAACCTGCCGCCACACAAATGTCTTCCAAGAGGGCCCCTCTAAAGAGAGCTTGAGAGGAAGCCACACTTCTGGTGGAATGTGCCATGATGCTAAGAGGTGAAGGCAAACCACGCACCTCGTAAGCCAGCAAAATAGCGTCCGTTACCCAGTGGGAAATCCTCTGCTTTGATGCTGCAAGCCCGCGGCGGCCAGCACCAAAACATACCAAGAGCTGGTTTGATTTCCTCCAACCGCCTGAGCGATCTACATACAACTTCGAAGAACGGACCGGGCAGAGCAAGTTAAGTTTCCTTTCTTCCTCAGAGGCAAAAGGAGGAGGGTGGAAAGCGTTAAGGTTAACAACCTGAGAGCGGAACGCCGTGGAAAGAACCTTGGGTACATACCCCGACCTCGGCCTCAAGGTAACCCTAACCAGGCCAGGAGCGAAGTCCAAGCACGACTCACTAATAGAGAGAGCCTACAAATCCCCCATCCGCTTTAGTGAAGATAAAGCCAACAAAAGAGCAACCTTAAAGGGTCACTTCACCCATTTGCATTAAGGTTTGTATTGTTAGAAACCCAGTCATATATTATAATGATGGTGGAATTTTGCTTGTTTTTTTTCTGAGATGGGAGAAAAAAGGATTTAAGTGTTTTACTTCCGTCCTATCGTGACGTAAATATCGTCATTTTGCGTCACGATAGGACGGAAGATAAATTTCATTGCATATTAAGAAAACTACAGCCTTTAGCTCATTATTATTCAAGGGCGTGGGACCCACTCACCCCACCGGCCTATTACAGATCAGTGGGTGGGACTAAACCTGAAGAAACTAAACTTTTAATCCGCCATCTTGCTTGGAAGACAGCAAGCTAAGCTAACAAGCGCTCAAGGAGTTAGATTTACCATAATGCCTGAATTTACGACACACGATATGGAAGACGAGGATTTTGAAAATCTTTTGCTCGAAACTGATGTTCGTGGCTATTTATACGAGCCACAATATAGCGAAGAGCAGCTGAGGCTGATGGAGGAACAAGAGGCGGCGGCGTCGGCTGCGGCAGCGGCCGCCGCAGGAGACCAGCCCGGCGCAGACGAGAAGCCCGGACTGGCTCGAGCTGGGCGGACTGCTGGTGCCTACATGTCGTGCTCTCGGCTCTCGCTGTGCGCTACGGACACAGATAGAGTCCGTCTGCTGCAGAGAATTTCAACGATCGCAATATCACCTGGACGAAACCTCTGAATCAGACGAGCACACGGACGTTTGTGTTGTGATCCATCCAAGTTTCGCACCGCATATGTTCTGACTGAACATCCAGGTAACTTTATCATCATCATGCAATAATTCACCATATAGAAAGAAATACAAACGAGGAGTAATTCACTAATGAGTTTGCCAATGTAACGGGGTTCGTTGTTGTGGGAAGAATGAGGCGGGAACCGGCAAACATTTAAACATTTTAATAGTAAAATAAACAAATACAAAACAAAAATATAAGCGAGCAGCCCCTCACTGCTGGCCACACACAACAGAAACAAAACACAACATAAAATCAGGCCTGTTCCTCTCTCGATCTGCCCTGTCGTCGCTCCTCGTTTTATGCGTCCGCTCCTCGGTGAGAGACGCGAGAGAGACCGGTGCGTCACAGCTGTCGTTCATTATCACTCGCGCCACCGGCCTCGCGCTGTCCTATCACATCCCTCGCCCTCGTCCTGCTCGCCACAGCCAACTAACTAGAAATTTTGTGTGAAATGAATTTCTAACTCTGGTGGCAGCTAACGTTAGCCTTGTAGACGGAAAAGTGATTTCTCTGATGTTTGCGCTGTTCTGGATTAGTGGGAGTGGCTTGCGGAGCTGTGCAATGTGGTGCATTGTGGGAGTTGTTGTCTTGCATACAAATGCGCACTAAAGTTATTTTCTGTCTTTTCTCGGTCAAGAGGGCATCAAATTCAAAATTTCTTTTACATTTCGACTACATATATGACCCACTTTCAATAAAGATTAATGTTGAAATGGGTGAAGTGACCCTTTAAGAGTCAGAATCCGCTCAGGGGCTGACTCCAAGGGCTCGAAGGGAGCCTCTGTCAAACCCTCCAGGACGACTGACAGGTCCCACGAGGGAACACTAGGGAGGCGAGCCGGTTTCAGGCGGAACGGAACCTCTGATAGGCCAAACGTACAGCTTCCAAATGTCGGGGCGAGGATGCCATATCCTGCCCTGAAGCTGGGAAAGCAGGTCCTCCCTGACCGGGATCTCCCAGGGGGAGGATTCCAACAGAGGGTTCAGCTCCGAAAACCATGGCTGGGACGGCCAGAATGGGGCTACCAGAAGGAGGCGGACTCCGCTCTCCCTCACTCTTGACAGAACCGCCTGGATCAGCTTGATGGGCGGGAAGGCATAGAGTTTCTGCATCGGCCATGGGTGGGCGAATGCATCTATCCTCAACGGAGCTGGAGGGATCAGGGAGAACCAAAGCGGGCATTGGGACGACTCCTGAGATGCAAAGAGGTCCACTTCCGCTTTCCCGAACATCTCCCAGATCAGGGCCACCGTCTGGCGGTTCAACATCCATTCCCCAGACCTGAGCATCTGCCTCGACAGGAAATCTGCTGCGAGGTTCAGAATCCCTGGGACATGAACTGCTCTCAGAGAGAGGAATTTGTCCTGGGACCACAGGAGAAGGTGACGTGCATGCCTGTCTAGGGTACGCGATCGTGAACCCCCATCTGTTTACATGGGACACTACTGCCATATTGTCCATTCTGACAATGACATGGTGTCCTTCGAGGAAAGGGAGAAAGTGGCAAAGAGCCAGGAAGACAACCCTCAGTTCCAAGCTGTTTATGTGCCACGAGAGGGTCTCGCCAGTCCAAACCCCACACGCTGGCCTGCCCTCGAAAACCACTCCCCAGCCGGTCAGAGAGGCATCCGTCGTAACCATCTGGCGACGGAATATCGCACCCATACCGACTCCTTTCTGAAGGAAGAGGGGGTCCCGCCAGATTGACAGGGCGCGAAAGCAACTGCGCGACACCTTCAATAGGCGAAGGGCTGGCCCCGTGGGCCGAGCCCCTGAGAGCTTCATCCACCACAGAAAACGTCTCATGTAGAGTAGCCCTACAGGTAGCACAGGGGAGGCCGCGGCCATAAGGCCCAGAAGTCTGCGGCAGGTGCTCATGGAAACATGATGGCCTAGCGCAAAGCGGGACAGACATGTCACCAGACTGGAAATCCGTGCAGGAGCCAAACGGGCCTGCATAAGAACGGAGTCCATGCGTACCCCCAAGAAAACCGTGCTCTAAGCTGGAATAAGAACGCTCTTCTCCGTATTCAACCTCAAACCGAGAGACTGAATATGACGGAGGACAATGTCCCTGTGGTGAGTCACCAATGAAATCTCCTGCCGTAGTACAGAAGCCTGAGCGGCGCTGTCGACTACAGTAGGAAAGACCCCGTTGAAGCAGGGGGGGTTGCGACAAAACTGAAGCGTGTAGCCGAGCTGAACTGTGCGAAGGATCCAAGGCGATACCCCTGGTAAACGCTCCCATTCTTGAACGAAATGTGATAGAGGGAGAGGAGTGTTGCAGTGCAAGGGACATACCTGAGGTAGGGTGTCGCGCTGGTTCCCATGGGGAGGCGTGGTTGACAGTGGAGGAGAGCGCTTGGCGTCCTGACACGTACTGGGGGTACCACCGCCTGGATAGAAGTAACTGGGTCCGCCTGCTCCAGAGGAAAACAAACTGTGCCTCCGAGTAAGCGATTGGCGGGTGTAATGTGCACCGGGATCGAGGGGAGAAAGCAAGACGGAAAGCACTCCTTCCTCCTGCGCCGGACTGGGTGAAGAGAGTGAAACAGGACCTGCACTTCGAAACACACTGGGTGGCGAAGGTGACAGGGTTGGAGGAGGAGAGCCGGTTGGAGGAGGGCAGAAACGCTTGCACAGTCTGTCCCAACCTCGTAGATCTGGTGAGGCTCTCCTCCTTCTGACCTGCGGGTCAGGAACGGCTCGAGGAGGCTGGAGCGGTCGATTTGTTGGACCGCTTCAGCTGAAGGCGCTTGTGAGGGCGCTGGCGGGGAAACGGACGACTTCGGGCTCCCCAGACCGTAGTTGGTGGGGGGTGAGCCGGGTCACTCCTAGTAGGGAATTCAGCCCTATGAGCAGAGCGTTCTAGGGTTTGAGAAGGGGGAGGGTTGGAGTCTCTTGGCTCTCTAAACCTCCTGGGCATAAACTGCCTGAACGTGGCCGACTGAGACTTAGCGGCACGGAACTTCTCAACCACCATGTTGACCGCCTCCCCGAAAAGACCTGAGCGTCCAGGAGAAAACTCTTATCCTTGTCTCGGATCTCCGTGAGATTCAACCAGAGGTGGCGCTCTACGGCAACCGAGCCCACCATAGAGCGACCCACAGCCCGAACAGTGTGTTTGGTGACTCTTAGGGCCAGATCTGTGGCTTTGCGAAGCTCTTTGACAGCTTCGGGCGTCAGTCCCTCTCCATCCATGTCCTTCAAGACGTCCGCTTGGTAGGCTTGAAGGATGGCCATGGTATGCAGGGAGGAATAAGAGAGGAAGTAGTCCTACAAGCCTTGGAAGGAAGGAGGGGACGCGACTTCCAGGATGGTGCAGACGACGGGGCGAGGTGGTTAGCCAGCGTGTCCTCGACCGCTGGAATAGCGGAATAACCCTGCTCCACAAAACCCACAAGGTTGGTGAAGTCAGCGGCTGCCGCATTAGTTAGGCGTGCGGAGAAAGGCTGCTTCCAGGATCTGAAGATATCGTGATGCAGATCGCTGAAAAAGGACAGCTTTCTTTGCTCTGGCCTAGAATTAGGGCCACGTAGGAACCTTGTCGAGTTTGGACGATTGAGACTCGCGGGGCTCATCAGGCCAGAGAGCTTCTGTGTAGCGCGCGACAGCACGTCAATAAGCTCAGTGTAGTCCGGAGTAGGCCGCGCGTCCTGGCCGCTAGGCGGGATAATGTCATCAGTCAAAGCAGCCCCGAAATCCTCGGAGTCGGAAGCTGCAGTGTAAATCACGTCATTCAGACCGAAAGAAACCGATTTGCGGGCTCCCGGGCTGGGGCATAAATAATCATGCGCGAATTCAACCGCGCCACGTGCGTGCTCGGGAGAGGGAGGGAGAGAAAGGGCGAGGCCCATCTGCTCATACTCAATATCCTCGAGCTCAACATCCGAGCCCCAGGCCGAGGATCCACGAGAGGCGTCAGCAGTCTCGGGAGCGCGACGAGGGGGAACGAATGACTCCTTCTCAAAAACCGCGAGTCTAGAGCGGAGGGTTTTGAGAAGGAGACTGTCACAAAATTTACATTTTGACAATCCTAATACAGCCTCACGCGCATGCGAAAAACCCATACATTTAACACACTTACTGTGAGGGTCGTCGTTCGAAATAAAATGAACGCATGGTGGAGAGCAGCATCGATAATCCATGACACTTCACTGTAAGGAGAACAGAGTTCCACTTATACCAGTCGCTGAAGTGTCGAGACGAAAGCTGTAGTTGAATTTAGAATAATTCGGGCTCAGAAAAACCGAACGAAGGGCAAGATGTGACCGCTTCGTGAAGGCAGAGAAATCTGAGGAGAGGATGGCGCACGCACGTTCATCATGCAACGACGTAAGAGCGTCGGGGCGGAGCCAGCTTTGCGCGAGCGCCATCAGCCAAAGAATTGGCGTGATTCTATAGGGCTTCAGGCAATCGGCATATCCAGAGGATATCCCACTGCGCTTTCCGCAGTGTTGAGTGAACCTATGAAAGAGAACTGAATACTGACTGGCATTGCTGACTTTCTAATATCAACTTGTATTATACAATATAATAATTTGGATTTGTTCTAACAAATTCATAAGACTTTCTAATTTAAATTTATTTATTTTAAAATTCCTTTTTAGGCAAAGTAACACAATCATTAATGGGGTGACCAGTGTGCAGATTCTTAAACATTTGATTCACCCTAATATTCAGTATTTAGTTTAATCCCGGTCCAGTGAGGCCAACAACAGCTCTTACATCATCTTATCACATCATTTGCAATTCAGAACACACATGCTCATGCAACATTCTATAAGACTGGTTTGACATTATTTTTTTTTTTTTTCTTTCTTCATCTTTTGGCTCTTCCTTAACCCTCTGGGGACCAGAAACGCGCCGGCGCGTTTTGCTCGTTTTTTTTCACATAGCAGAAAAATAGACTTAAAGTACTACCATAATTTCTGTTCATATAGAGTTAAGAAATATGAGAAAATAATCTGTTAAATGTCTACTTTTTTATGTGCCCACATACAATCGAAATAAAATATTGTGCTTTTGTAAAATAAAGAAAATAAACAGGGTGTGCGTTCTGCCTCTCCGTCACCGTGAACTTTTTTTCTGGAGCACGTCTCTAATCTTCAACACAACTCAGCTAATACTATTCACCCAGCCATAAGCAACATATCTTTTAAATCATTTGAGTTTGTACTTTTAAATGATCCGATTCAAAACTAAAATAAATATTCTCCGTTTATGTCATCTATATAAAAAGAGAGACGTGTCAGCCGTTCTAATTATCTTTCTCTCAGCTCATTATCTCTGGTAATGTGACACGTCCACGGAGAGCACGCGCTATTCAAACGCAAATATGTGAAGCAACACATTGAGACGCGTTAACGCCCATAAACTCTGAGAACACTATATTTTTTAGTCAGATTAATCTACTGTCGTCTTGCGCGGCTATATGAGGAACAATCCTGGGACATTTACCACAGAACAAGTGCTGGTTTATTTTCACTTCGAGGATGAGCAACAGATCAGCTGAGAAGTAAGTGTTTTATGCAAGTGCTTTGTTCTAATCGCGATATAGAATAACGTTAGTTATTGGAAAAATGGAAATGGAAAAATAGCATACTGTTTAAATGTGAATCATGTTTGTGAGTGAGTGAGTGAGTGAGTGAGTGAGTGAGTGAATGAATGAACACACAGATACGCACTGTTACAGACTAAATAAAAGACAACATTTCGACTAGTTTTGGATAAAGTTTTTACTCTAAAATAGACATCAAATAAGCTTTTGTTAGGAGTTTCTGCTCATATGTTAAATATATAGTATGTTTTGTCAATAAACTAATCAACTAAGATGTTAAAGTGTTTGTTCCAATGCAAGCTACATCAAAATAATGAATCCTCAACTTTGAAATATGTATGATCAAACTAAGACATTTATGGAAAAAGACAATTTTCTTTTCAAGATGTTTCCAACTCTAACTTTGAACTGAAATAAAACCATGTCTATATGGTGAAGGGTGTGTGATAGAAGTGTCCAGACGTATGCACCCTGTATTTTAAAGAAGAACATTTAATTATTTGCGATACATTATTCATTCACAAAGAATTCAAGGACATTATTCATGTCCCTAAAGGTTGGAGTTTTCCTCATTTTTTTAATTAAGGCATTAAGATTTTTTATTCCTCTTTTTAGTCAACTTTAGCATGGGTGTGTTCACTTATTCTAAGCAGTGTGTGTGTTGTAAATAAATCCAAACAATCTAAAAGGCATTCTTTTTTAAATCTCCTCATTCTTTGTGCAAGGCTCCTCTAATGATATGGCCTGATAGCACCTAATAGGGCCATTATGGGAGGGTCTTTGTCTTTCTGAGGTGTGGAATGCCACACATATTAATGAGAGATCACGCCTCCTCGCATAAAGCTTTCTCAAACAAAACACGTCATTAAAAATGTAAAATACTTTATTGACTTATCTGAATGAGTAGTCAGGATGATTCTCACATAGTTTTGGAGCAAATATTCTAGACTATGTGATACAATTTTCAAAAGTCTTGTGAAGAAATAATCAATATGTGTTTTGTGGCCTTATTTCAGAAACTTTTATTTTTAAGTTTTTCAATAACCATGCATAAATAATATTCTCTCAATATTCCCCGTTTGTGCTATATAGAGTGAATTTACACCTTTGCCATTAACATGTATATAAATAACTGAAAAAAGCACAAATGTCAGTGCATGTCAAAACATCCCAAGAGCCCCAAAAACACTCTGGTCCCCAGAGGGTTAAACAGCCTTTTTTTTAGCCATTTGAGAAGCTTGCTAACTTTTAAACATTACATGTTTGTAGTTTTATGGTTATACTTTCCAAATAGTGTGATGCATACTTTAAAACATTAATGATGCTGCCCTCTTGCCAACCAAACTTCCATTGCAACTTATGCATTTGTAGTGTATATGCATTTCTAAAACTCACAAATTCAGCTGTATTTAAAACATACAAACCTTCGTTATTCTCAGCAACACTCTGGTGGTGTGGGCAGCGGATTACCACCTCAGAAACATGCTCCGATTTCTTATAAATTGCTGTGGCTCTCAGCATGGCACCATTAGGTGGTTCTCTGCCCACCAGCACATCCACAGGACATGTTTTTGCAAGCTGACAGTACAGCTTATTCAGTAGCTGAGAATACTGTGGGAAAGATAGGTAGAGGGTTACAGCAAGACAAATCTCACCTTTTTGCCAATATAGTATTATCTGTTGGGAATGACATAGTAAATTTGAAATTTGATCAGAAAAAAAAGACCAGGGGAGAATTTTTTTCTTTCTTCCAATGAATATGTATAAAAAAAAACACCTTTTCCTCCCACTCGTTTTACCTTAGAAAGCCAAAAGTTTAAAATGCTAGCTTTACATTCAGACATGCAATTTGGACAACATTTTACCTAATCTATGCAATGTGCTCAGCTTTGCGCAAATTAGTCTTACAGACTCGTAAGTAGGATTGGAGGGGGGGTTTGTTAGGACTTCATCGGCATGACAGGCACAGGGCAGAGCATTTCTCTCTATCAGGCCATGCTTTAACCTTTTTCTTGCCAATACACATGGTAGGGGTGTTCCGATTGATCGACTACCGATCGCTATCAGACGATAATCACTTCTAATGACTGGATCGACGATATCTCAATTTGTCGATCTCATGCTGACGACGCATAAAGACGTGCGTCTGCTGTGAGGTATGGCATGACATGCTCCAGCGGTTTCTGTCTGGCGTGGGCAAAATTATAATCCTGAATGTGAGGTACAGTTCATATTTATTTATTAAATAAAGTCATCTGAAAACTTTTTGTGAGACGTAGTTTCACAAACAGTGTGAGCTGATCACTGCATGCTCTCTCTCTTTCCATTTCAAAATACGTAAATGGCTTCACATCATCAGATCGAATCTGCACTATAACCGAGCTGCACAGTTGACGGAATGGTCACTTGTACAATCGAGGCAGTCGCATCGTTACTAAAGATTATGATTTCTATTTAAAATCACCCACAAGAGTCACCTAAGGGAGGGATTCACCACATTTTCCAAAATGAAATTCAGGCCCTGAATTAATGTCTGTAAAAATCCTGATTAAAACATCCCTATAAATAATTATACACGAAAAAAGTAGATTTCAAATAGATCGGTATCAGCTTCCTGTGATCAATGACCGGCTCCAAAAATCCTGATTGGAGCATCCTTAATGCATGGTACAGCCTTTAGAACAAGCCCACTCATGTTGTGTTTCAAGTGTCATCCTCAGACATCAGGGGCAGCAAAATGCTCACTTGATCTGCACTCTCACTTCAAGTAAACTAAGGGCAAGCTTACACTACAGGACTGCAAGACCACCTGAATTGCTGTGGTGCGCACACTACACAACAAGGTTTCTTGTCATCTGTTGTCTTGTCAGAGCACCAAAATGAGAACAGATCCAGAGGTTGGACCTTGCAAGACCTTGGAATTATGTGTGCGACAGCAAAATCCAGCCAAAAGTTGTGTAGTGTGAGCTAGGGCTGCATGATATATAGTTTTAGCATAGATATTGGGATGTACGCATCCACGATAGTAAAAACGCAAGATGTGTGATGTCAAGTATAGGGATCGTAGTTGATCTGTGTGGGCCAGCTGCCCCCCGATTCGGAGCGCATGTGATTCACGATTAATTGAATTAACTTCCTTCCCTTTACACATTCTTCTCTTCACTCAGAAAGATCGGTTTAAAAACAACGGATGATCAGTGCCGATTATATATCCTGTCAATCAAAAGAGTGTGATTGACCGACATAAAACATGACCGACAGCAACTCACACTATGTGTGAAGAAAACCTCTCGTGTTGAGTTAGTTAAGGCAAGTTAATGCGCATTAACAGCAACATAAAAGAAGGCTCTATTTGACCCTATGAATCACCCTTAATTCAAGCAGTTTTTCCCCTATACTAAATATTATTTGTAGCGCACCTATCACCCAATAATCGCAAATAGCTCTGTGCTTTGTTACTTGATAAAATGGACAGAATTTGAAAGATGACACTTTTTTTATATGAAATTCAAACAATAAAATGGCGTTTTGACGCTCTTAAATGTGATCTGATAGATTGCTGTAGCGCCTCAGTTCAAGCAGCAGCGAGAGTCTATTCTCCCACTTTAATACAAATTATTTCTAGAAAAACATGCATGAATATCAGAAAGTAACTTAAAAGTTACAGTACAACTTACCAAAATCCATATCATGTCTCATGTAATCACTCAGTGTTTCAACCGTGGAAAGATGTCAATAAAACTTGAAACTTGCTTGTGAACAATATCACTTAATGTTGCATTTACCTCAGGAAAGTCATCCGTTTGTTAGTTAGCTTTAAAAAAAAAAAACTAGAGAGGAGCTTATTTACTGCTAATTATATATGCATGTTTGAATAAATTTGCCATGAAGACAAGTGCTTATGTACAGTTGTATACAAACATTTCAGCTTTTATTTGAATGTAAATATTATATTTAGAAATAAATAGCAGATGAATATAATAGCTCTGTTGTTAATTTTAACCTCTAATATTATAGAGTTCCAATGAGAGGGTTCTCTGTATAGTTTGCAGAATTATTTGGGAGAGATTTTTTTAACCATAAGAAAAAAACTATCGGCATTGGCTGAGAAATTTCATATTGGTCCATCTCTAATAAAAATTATATTGTTCTATGTCAATGCAAGTGAATTAACAGTCATGTTTGGTATCATTTAAAATGTCACTGTGGAGATGAGACCATTGTACCAGTCGCACTGAGGTAAACCAAAAGGTAATAAAGGTTTGTACTTTGCTTACTGTGGTGGCCCTGTGCCCCTTTCTCAGGGTCCTCCATCCAAACTACAAGGTGCGATGCGAACTTCCTAGGTCTCCCTAGTCAATGCAAATTCCTATTGTAAGTTCATGCCCCACATTGGGGAATGTTTTGTCTTGGTCTGGGCATTTAAAGAAATGCTGAAAAAGGCTTGGGCGATTTGTAGTCAGCTAAGCCCGTAATGCTGAACATCCTTGGACACTCAGCATTATGTATCTATCTATAAATTACAGGAACGTCTGTCTGTCTGTTAATCGCATATCTCATGAACCGTAAGTCCGATGGATTTCAGACTTGACAAGTGTCTTGCTACGGGCACGAGTAAGTGCAGTGCCAAGTTTAACGTTGTTTGGATTAGAAATGCAAAAGATATCGTTAAATATATCGGTAAAAGCAGCACACATTGAAGTTGTGGTTTAAAAATAAACATTCTGACATTAGATAGGGTTGTGGTTTAAAAATTGTGGTTTAAAAATAAACATTCTGTCAGCTAAACATTAAGGCTTAATCCCAATTCACCCCTTGGCCCTACCCCTTGTTTTCGAGTGTACCCCTTGGCCCTTAAAACAGAGTTACAAGGGCCAAGGGGTTGAAATATTCCCCTACGAAATGGAACAACCCTTCATGAACCCGATACGTCATCAGTCGTCGGTGATGGCTCTGCCGTTACGGAGTTTTTAAAGGATTTCTCCATGACAACGACTGACAATCAGCGCAGCTGCTCTTAACTTTGAGGAAACATGATGCTTATAACGTTCTTTCCTCGAAACGTATGTCTTTTCTGTTTCGGAAAGGTAATTTATTATACAATTTCTTAATTTAAATGACTATATCATTATTATAAGAGTAAATAAAGTGCACGGTGGTGTCATCTGGCGCTAAATTTAAATGTTTAACCGTTTGTGAAGCCATCTCGCCGGTGATTCGCGATGTATTCTGCGAACTTTCTCGTAGCCCTCCGTTTGGAGTGTGCCTCTGAAAAATCTCCGTTTCGAGGGCTATGTAGCCCTACCCCTTAGCCCTACCCCTCGATCTAAACAAGAATCGGGACACCCTACCCCTTGGAGTGAACGCGCAAAACGGAGGGGTAGGGCCAAGGGGTAGGGGCAAGGGGTGAATTGGGATTGAGCCTTAGTCAGCTACACTGTTTACTTCTGAATATTGTAGTTATTCAGATGTAGTTAGTTGTCAGTAGTTAGTTATAGGCTATGTAGTTCAATTTTCCATATTTATTGTATGTCATTATGTCAGTATCAATATTTGCTTTCTACCATGCACAAATAAAAATATCACTGAACTTTTGCTGTGTAATTGTAACAATGAGCACTCAAACACACCAAACCAACAATTACTAAAAACACACAAAAACTGATTTTGCACATATATACTGTCAAATCGATTAATCTCGATTAAAAAAATATACAGCACACGTATAATATACAGTATATATAAATATAATATATAAACAGACACACATACATCTATCTATAAATTACAGAAATGTCTGTCTGTGTGTCTGTTATTCGCATATCTCGGTAAAAGAAGCACAGATTGAAGATGTTTAGATGAGGTTTAGAAGGTTGTGGTTTAAAAATAAACATTCTGACATTAGAGAGTTGTGGTTTAAAAATATCTTAATATTATATTTTATTATGGTGCGCTTAACATTATTGCTACTGTGTAATAGTAGCCTATGCTATTCACAAACTAAACATAAAAGACGCCTTTCAATGTATCTAATTGTAATCTGCACAATGACAACAAAGTTGACACTAATGTAAATCTAATCTAATCTAAACTCCTGCTACCTGTACACCCAAATACATGTCACCTAATATCACCATTATAAATTGTTTTGCAACCATGTAGTTCAATTTTCCATATTTATTGTATGTCAGTATCAGTATTTGCTTTCTACCATGCACAAATAAAAATGTCACTGAACTTTTGCTGTGTAATTGTAACAATAAGCACTCAAACACACCAAACCAACAATTACTAAAAACACTCACAAAAACTGATTTTGAACGGGCATATCTCGCGAACCGTTAGTCCGATGGATTTCAAACTTGACAGGTGGCTCACACTGCACACTGAGTGGCCACTGCCCCTCTCACACTGCACACTGAGTGGCCACTCCCAATCGATTTTCGATTCCCAACCATAGTTATAATGCTACTCTGTGTGTTCGCTCGGTGGCTACTATGAGACACTTGTGGCACACTCCAGTGAGCTAGATCGATATTAGGCATGGTAAATATGGTACTCGCTGTAAATCAAGAAAACGAGATTTAAAAAAAAAAAAAAACTGTTGAGCT